ACTTTATATATCAATACATAAGTTACCTCTAGTAAAATAAGGATTCAGTTGTTGAATCTAAAGTTATAGATTGTACTTCTGGGAAAATGGAGTAGGCACCATTTTTCTATTGGGACTTCACAATTCTAGACATTATATATAAAACAAGCATAAGAAGACTCTGAAAGATGGAGAAAAGAGACAGACTGGCTGGCTGGGAACCACAAGCCCCAAAGAACAGCCTGCTGGTGAATTCCCTGGGTGCTCTTTTTGCCCCTTACATGTCCCAGATTGGGTGCTGAAGAAGCCAGGAACCCAGAATGCCAACCATCACAGACAAAAAACCTCAAGAAAATCCTGACCCCTTTAGTCAAAGGATCAGGAAAGGCAATAACTGCTTGACTGCAACTGAACATCACAGGAGAAACTATGGCACCATCCCCTTCTCCACCAACAAAGGCTGGGAGGGTCCTAGACTTTCACCCTCAAAAGGCTGTGCTGGGGACTTTCAACACCTGCTCCCCATGGATGGTATCTGAGAAGGCCATATAACGGGCCAGTATTTCACCCTCCCAGCCAGTAGTCACACTCCTCCTTGGTGTTGGTGGAGGCTATGTGGGGCTTGGGCTTCCCCATCAACCCATCACGATTCAGGGACCCTTCTCTACTCACAGGGTGGTATCGGATGAGGCTGAATAGAGGCTCAGGACTTACACGTTCGCCCACTGGTAAACAGACCCTTCCTACTGTATTTCAGTGAAGACCATATGGGGAGCAGAAACTTCCAACCCTTCCCAGCAATAAGAGGGAGCCCCTTGCTCGGCTCAGGTGTCAATGGAGCTCCACCTGGCCGTAATGAGGTAGCAATTCCCTCTACTTCTGCTGCAGCTGTGTTGCAGAAAGCCAGCCAAAAAGAAGGTTTCAGTAAGATCCAGACTCTTATGCCATAACAAGAAAATGTTTAGATTTCAACAGAAAAATCACTAGTCATATAAAAAACCAGGAACATCTCAAGCTGAAGAATAAAAGACAATTAATATATGGCAAAAATGAAGTGACAAGAATGTTAGAATGATCTGACCAAGATTTTAAAGTAACTGTGATAAATATTCTTCAATATGCTATTACGAACAGTCTTGAAACAAACTTAAAAAGACTCTCCCCAAACAAAAAAGTATTAAAGAAATAGAGACACAAAGATAAACCACATGGGCATACAATTACTTAAGAAAGCTGCTCAGTGAATAAGAAAGTGGATTGCATAATAAAGAAATTATTCAATCTGAACAACAGAGAGAAAAGACACTGAAATCACTGAGCCAACCCCCAGGGACTGGTGAACTCACTCTAATAAAAGACATGGCATTTGTGTCATCAGAGCCCTGGAAAGAGAGAACAAAGAGGATGGTTAGAAAAAGTACTGAAAAAGTAACAGTGAAACATTTCTGAAATTTGGCAAAAGGACATATACTTACAGATTCAATAATCCTAGTGAACCTCAAACAGGATAACCCTAAGGAAATCCTCTCCAAGACCCATCATAACTAAATTTCTGAAAATTAAAGACAAAAAAAATTTTGAAAATCAGTGAGAAATGACAGGTGAAACACAACTCAAATGAAAGCAGATTTTTAAAAAAATCATAAATCAAGGAAGTCAGGAAAAAAATGACACAGTATTTTTCAGTTGCTGAAGGAAGAGAATTGTCAGTTTATACCCAATGAAAATACTCTTTAGGAATAAAGAGGAAATCAAGACATTCTCTGATGAGAAAATCTAAGAGACTTTGTTGCCAACAGACCTGCCTTAAAGCAATCGCTAAATGAAGTTCTCTAAACAGAAAGAAAATGATTTAATAAAAGGACTCTTGGGACATTAGAGCAGATGAAAGCATGTAAGAAAGAGCAAGAGGGTCAATAATAGACTTTTTCTCTCCTTTTGAGTTTTCAAAATTATTTTTGACAGCTAAAGCAAGCATCTTACCACAGTTTGATGTGGTCCTCAACGCACGTAGAGGAAATGTTTCAGTTAATTATAATTGGGGCAGGGTAAAGGATAATAATGGTAAGTGTTCCAAACCTCACTACAAGTGCTAAAATGTTGATACCAGCAGACTGTTACCAAGCACTGGTGAGGATGTGTTAGAAACTGGGTCTTATAGCATATTTTTGGTGCAAGTTTAAAATCCTACAGCCATTTCTTTAAAACATGTATAGGCCGGGCGCAGTGGCTCATGCCTGTAATCCCAGCACTCTGGGAGGTTGAGGCGGGTGGATCGCTAGTTCAGGAGATTGAGACCATCCTGGTCAGCGTGGTGAAACCCATCTCTCCTAAAAATATAAAAATTAGCTGGGTGTAGTGGCGCATGCCTCTAATCCCAGTTACTTGGGAGGCTGAGGCAGGAGAATCGCTTGAACCAGGGAGTCGGAGGTTGCAGTGAGCCAAGATTGCACCACTGCACTCCAGCCTGGTGACAGAGGGACTCGGTCTCAAAAAAACAAAAACAAAAACAAAACAAAAACCCAACTTGTGTATGCCCTTACCATTCATTGAACCTAGCATTCAAATTCTAGTGCATTTATCCTAGAGAAATGAAATCTTATGTCCAGACAAAAACCTGTCCATGAATGTTCATTGCAGCTGTATTTGTGATAGCTCAAACCTGAAAGCAACCAATACATCCTACAACAGATGAATAGTTAAAGAAACTGTGTACATTAGTAGCATAACATACTATTTTGAAATAAAAAGCAACTAATTATTGATACCTACAAGTAGGACGGAACTAAAGGGTACTATGCTGAATAAAAAAGGTTGATCTTAAAATGTCATACATTGTATGACTGCATTTATATAACATTCTTAAAGTAACAGGATAAGAAACGTGAAGAATAAATTAACATTTGCCAGAAATTAGGGATGCTTAGGTGGGGAAGGAGATGGGTGAGACATGACGGGTATGGCCATAAAGAGGTGGCACAGAGATCTTGCTGGTGGTGGGCCAGCCTGCACCTTGAATGCTGTGGGGTTATATGAACTTACACATGTCATAAAATGACACAGAACAACATATTTATGCTATACCAATTCCAATTTCCTGGTTTTGATATTGTACCAGAGCTATGGAAGATGTAAAAATTGGGAGAAATTGGATGAGGGGTACTGGGTGAGGGGACTTATTTATAAAGTTTGCAATTTCCTGTGAATTTATAGTCATTTCAGAATTAAAAGTTAAGAAAAGAAGTAAAACAGTAAAAGTTTCACAAGAAAATATGGATAAATAGTTTAGTCCTTACATAGCAAAAGTCATTTTAAACAAAATACTTAAATATAGGCTATATAATACTTAATAAAATTGACTGTACTGAAAATGAAAACTTTCATGAACCACTCCCCAAACATGAAGACTGCTGCGCATGGCATTACCTGCTTGTAATCCCAGCTACAGTGGGGACTGAAGTGGGAGGAATGCTTGAGCCCAGGAGTTCCAGGCCAGCCTGGGCAACGTAGTGAGACCCTGCCTCAAAATAAGATTTTTTAAAATTAAAAAACATGAAAAGACAATTTAAAAACTAGGAGAAGATGTTCTCAACAAACACATAACTGATGAAAAGTCAGTATTGAAAACAAATTTAAAAAATTCTGAACATCACTAGAGAAAGTACAAACCACACACAAAAAAGCCATTGGTATTCAACACACAGAAGAGAAAGTATTAATTTCTAATAGATGTCTGAAAAAAATCAACATGATTGTTGATAAAGAAAATGCAAATCAAACCCACAATGTGACCCTATTTCACATTCATTTGACTAGCAAAGCTGGAAAGTGTCTCCTTATCAAGGATGGGGAGGACCTATTATTCACTGCTGTTAGGTTTGTATATGATAGAGACTTTCTAGAAAACAGGTTAATGTCACTGTGTAGGGCTGGACATCCACATATCCTACCACATAGGAATTCCGTATCTACCCAAGAGAAAGCCTTGTTCACAACACAATGTGTGAGAAAATTCATAGAGAAGTGTTGGGCATAACTCAAATGTTCTTCTAGAAGAATGAAGAAATAAACTGTAGTATAGTCACACAAATGAATCTTAAAAAGGAGAAAGATAAATAAACTAAACTATATACAATGTGGATGAATCATAGAAAGTTAAAAAAGCTAGAATATTAAATATAAATTCTCTTTTGATAAGATTCTAAAACTATAATAAATTAGAAATGTATACTACATAAATAATACGAAAGATATAAATAAAATTAAAATAATATAAAAAAATGACAAAAATTGATGAACATGGGGGTTAGAGTGATGGTTATGCTGATGGAAGTAGGTGGAGAAAGAGACAGAGAGAGAGACAGAGACAGAGAAAATATTTCTTTCAGATTGACCAGGGAAAGACTAGGGGATAAATGGGTGAGGATTTGTCAACATGAAATCAAACCAAAGCAGGATTTTATTTCTAGCCCAATAGTGTGTGTATGTGTGTGTGTGTAAGGTTGTGAAATGCTAAATAAAAATAGACTCTGAAGTCAAATTCAGCATTTTATTTTATTATGTAACAGAGAGCCCAGAACAAAATAGAGGAGCTGTGCCGTGGAGTTGAACCAGTGCATTTTTCAGTTCTGTTCTAATTCAAGTTCATTAGTTACTTTAGTTTATGCCAGTCTGGATGGAATTCTAGCTTTGGCAACTCACACTGGAACATTTTTTTGACTTTTGATTTTCTGAAAATTGATTAAAATTTTAAAAGTTGAAAACATTTTCAAAGGTTTATAGTTTGATAGTTAAAAATTTAGACTTTCTCAAATATTATTGAGCTCATAGTTGAAAATGTGGTTAGAGCTAGCCAACCTTTATGACCTCATCACAGATAAAATGGAAAAAAAATCTGGTTGTAATAAAATTATAACACTCATATATTTTCGAGTGAAGAAAAAGTTAAAATGACAACAGCAACAGAATGATTGTGTTGGAGTTCAATTAAGACGTTCTCATGTATCTCATACTTTCTTTAGCCCTGACTAATGGATGTGAAACTGCTGGCACGGACACTATCCAGGATGTCCAGTAAGTACTGTCATTTCTAACAAGTAAACATAACAACATCGCAAACAAGCAATAAATCAAAGAAGATGGCTCTCTCTATTTATAAGCACTAAAATGTAACACTCCCCTTTGTAGATTTCTGGAAAGAGTTTGCAGACATAAAGCAAGCACTCATCAGTAAAGTTCTTATTTTAACCAAATTATCTGCCCAGATGGAAGTTTTATTTTGTTTGAGTGGGCATGTGACAGTATCACTCTGAAATGATGGTGCTGGTTCTGGCATATTGCATCTGGAACAGATGTAATGAGTATTATTGTATTTCTTTGAAAATACATCATTATGCAAAAATTATCTCTTGGAATAAAATTTCTTATGTTTGGTAAAAGTCCAAGAGAGAAGATTTTAAATTCCAAGCATGAATATTATCCCAATGTGAGTTATTAATTAGAAGGCAAGTTTTCCTCATGAGCATTCTGAGTTTAAATATGTTATTTACAAGTATAATAGGCAAATGAAACCATTTAAAAATTAACGGAATGTGTCTCTCCAATTCTATCCTAGCTTGATTCTCTCATGCTTATTTCACCCCCATGGGAGTTCACAGCAAGACATTGCTGTTTGACATTTCATTTAGTTTCAAAAATTGGCTAAAAGGGAATCAAATCTATGTATTCATACATATGAATGACATATTTCAGGCCACCCAGTGTAGACTGTTATGGCTCTCTCTCAATATTCATGACTCCAGTCAGGATCATGATGGACATGCCCAAGTTCAGTTTGATTGGAAGTAGCATGAATATAGAAGGACTAGAATTGGGGAGGGGGAGTGTTGAGTCTAGATTTCCTATTACAATTTGAACAATGAAAATTTGATTGTCTTGGATGCTTCTGAAAACTTCCCACCAAAATATATCTAAATAGAACTGGAGTGTGAATTTGTAACATGAAGTGTAGATGTTTAGTCCAAGTGCAAAATATCCTTGAAGACCTTATTTTGAAATTCACCTTTTATCCTCTATAATATATGCTTGGTTGAATGTAAAAACATAGATGTAGCACAAATACCAGTTAAAACCATTGCAGTCTCATTCAAATCATTTAGAACAATCAACACTCAAGACTTGAGCACCAGAACAGGAGAGAGGATGAGCTCCTGAGTTGAACTACGTTTAAGAAAGAGAGTTAGAGACCGGTGAAAGGCAGTCAGAGAGATAAGGGGCACAATTGAGAATGGATTACCAGAAGACAAGAGAAGAGACCAGTCAACAATATCAGATAAGTCGGAGAAAGTGAGAAAGGCATGGACATGAGCTGACACGAGGCCACTGAACTTGATGATGGAGATATCATTAGGGCTTGTAGAGACAGACAGCTGTTTCTGAAGAATGATTTGGGGGAGAGAAATGTCAATGGATTATAGAAGAGGTGGAGATCAGTTGGCCCCTTTCTAGTGAGGGTTGAAGATGCGAAGGAGGCAAAGAGGAGAGAAAGAAGGAGAGATACAGCCAATTATTTGCATTTTTATATTTGTAGCAAAAAACTAGAAAAGATGAAGATAAGTCATTGATAATAGTCTAGTATCATATAAAATACCAGGAAAATATCTAGCAAAAATATGCAGGATATTTACCAATATATTGATCTCTCCCTAGAGTCAAGTATCAGTATTCTGTGTTCTTTATTTAAACTGATAAGATGATTCTAACATTTACATAGAAGACATACTCAAAAGGAATAATAAAATGATGACAAGGAAGGCAATACATTTTTTGATTACTTTTGGTTTCTCCATAGAGAAAATGGCCATGTCACCTGCTGGGAAGGTGGGAAGGCAACTGCCTGTCTTTTTCCACCTGCAGTAATAACCCAGCTCCCTTACTGATATGTGTCAAGGACATCTTGAGACATCCTCCAATTCCTCAGGCAATTTCTCCATTGAATATAGTCACTATAAGACAGTGCACCAAAATAGATGAGGGTGTAGTCATGGGAGCTTGTTTCCTTGAGAAGGTGAGTCAGGAAGCTCCCAGGACGGAAGACCTTCTGGGGAGATGGCCCAGTACAATCTAGGGTCAATAGTCTCAGCTACTTGGGAATCACCCTCTGACGTGGCCAAGTGAGGCTTTTAGATAAAAGGGTAGTCATAAGCATTGAGAAAAATACTTTAGAGCTCCATGTGAAAAACAAATCCTTTCTCTGGTGTCGTTTGGGTTTGGCAGTATAGTTATTAGAAATTCTGTCTGGGGCTTCTGTTCTTTCCTGCTCTCAGCCCTTCAGCATATGAAACCAGCATACCAGATGACCACGTATGATCCAGTGTTGTCAAAGGAGAAGCTGAGGAGGTGTTAGACTTCTTGGTTGCAAGTGGAGGCTGGAGTTGGCTACTATTGGATGTGCTGAGTGTAGTTCAACACCATCTGATGGTGTCATGATGATACTGGAGGCGGGCAGGGAAGTGCTGGGAGGAGAAGGGTGGGTCCCTGGTGAGGGCTCCAGTCCTGGGCCTGTGCCCAGGGACATAGGTAGGGATAGACACTCCTGCCTTACCGTCCAAATGTTGCATTTCCCAAGACCACCCTGGCCCACCATGCCCCATCCTGTGCCTATAAAAACCCCGAGACCTTAGTGGGCACAGACACGAGCAGCTGGACACTGAGAGGAACACACCAGCGGAAGAAAACACAAGCGGCTGGATGTCGAGAGGAATGCACCAGCGTAAGAACACACCAACAGTGCCAGAACACTGGCAGGCCATCGACTGGCAGAACGACACTAAGTTTGACCAGGATGGTCGGAGGAGAGCCCGGCGACTGAGCCGCCCGACTTGAGGGGAAAACCACGTTCCCACTCCATCTCCCTTCTGGCTCCCCCATGGGCTGAGGGCTCTTTCCACTGAATAACACCTTGCACTCATTCTCCAAGCCCATGTGTGATCTAAGTTTTCTGGTACACCAAGGCAAGAACCCCGGGATACAGAAAGCTTTCTGTCCTTGCGATAAGACAGAGGGTCTAATTGAGCTGGTTTACACAAGCCGCCTACAGAGGGCAAAACTAAAAGAGCACCCTGTAACACACACCCACTGGGACTTCAGGAGCTGTAAACATCCACCCCTAGACACTGCCATGGGGTTGGAGCCCCACAACCTGCCCGTCTGCATGCTCCCCCTAGAGGTTTGAGCAGCGGGCCACCGAAAAAGGCAGCCACACCCGTGGTTGCAAGCCCTGCGAGGGGACAAGGGAATTTTTCCTTTCAATGAGGCCAAGATTTCTTTTTTCTTTAGCCAATTCATTTCCTTAATATTAGATAATAATGCTATGTAAACCAGATAATGTTAGAATAATCTACTCATACAGTTTTAAAATAACACAGGTAGGATTGATCTTTGTTGCTGGTGCATCCATTGTGTTGCTCTGCTTACAGCGCTGACTGTTCCCTCTCAAGCTTTGATCATGCTCAATCTCAGCACATTTGCATCATTCTCATTTTCCGTCTTCTGGTAGATATGTTGATGATGAACCATATTTTAGTCATCCCTTCGCCCCAACAACTAATATAAACCCTGTCCCAGATTGTGCTTAGTGAATCTTGCTGCGTGGCTGAATGAACGAATGAAATCCAAAGCTCAGTACTGAGAAGTAGCGGCTATAATTTAACAAGCTTCTGACTTAAAAAGACTCTCTTCTCTCTGTCCTGTTCAAAGTCATGGTTTTAAAACATCTATATTCTTTATACCTCTGTCCTCCCTCCAAAATCTTGCAGGGAGGAAGGTGGGAGGTCAGATAATGGATATTTTCTTTGCTGTGTGAAATGGGTTAGACTCACTGGGCACACAGACAATCCCAAGACCTTTCAATCACCCCATAACTATCACCGGGCACGGGAAATACGAGTGTGTTCTTGCCAAACACTCCATTTAATGCATGCATTCCATGTACACTTGACTTGAGCCCAGTTTCTTGCTTGGTTCAAGGAATACAAAGCTGAATAGTGGCGGCCTTCTCACTGAGACCTCCTCAAATCTCTCCTACAAAGCACCGGCAGCTTTCTCATAAAAAAACAACAGAAACTGTGTGTATGGGAGGATGAGAGAGGGAGTCATAGGGGGAGAAAAAGTTTCTGATGGAGTTTTGATAGGTGGCAAGAAGAGAAAAAAAACTCCCTCCCCAAAATGCAGAGGCAAAGAGGAGCCTCATGCTAGGGGGTGGTTAGGGAGTAATTTTATAGTTTTAAAAAATAATTTTAGAAAGACTACTATGGCAAAGAGGCTAGGGCATAAAGCAGTGGGAAGAGAGTAGAGACAACTATACTTCCCCTGCAGATGTGTGTGTGTATGTGTGTGTGTGTGTGTGTGTGTGTGTGTGTGTACAAGGGTGGGAGCAATGCCTTGATTCTTTTAGTTCATTCACTTCTCAGCTAAAAAGCTAAAAAGTTTCTGTTTCTAGTTTTGTATTTTTGTATCCTCAGATGAGGATTCTGCAAGCCAAACCCTTATGGCTGAATTTTATGTTTGAATACATTTTTCCACTTGGCACAGCTAGTAGCTGCACCTTGGTCTCTACTTTCATTGAGAATCATAACTGTATTAGGAGAAGGAAGACATTTTTATATTTGTAGCAAACAATTAGAAATGGTGAAGATAATATATATATTTAAAGTGGATGTATTTATATATATTTGAAGTGGATACCATAGGCTCATACACGTAGAAGGCTCTCAATAAACTTGATGGTGGTCTAACCAATCTAAAGTCCTTGGTACACATCTGCACAAGTGAGACTCAGAACAGTGAAGTAGGTCCCCTAAACTGACTTAGTTAGCCAGTCCCAGTGCTAGCTAGTGTAAAAATCCAGGACATCCAAGTCCAAGGCTTGCAATACCGCATGGCTTTATATTATTTATTTATTCACAGGTATTTATTAAACACCTTTTATGTGCCAGGCATTATGCTCATAATTTTTTGACATTGATCCAGGCTGCAATCAGAATGAAAGCGCAATAAAAAGCCACAACTTAATT